TGGAGTGTGTTCCTGAAGGATGTCCAGATGCGTGAAAGTATTCTGCAAATACCTCAGCCTTGCTTTAAGTGAATATCTGAAGCCCCTCTGCAACCCATAAAGCCCCGGAGGTGTCGGGGTGGTGCTGCAAGGCAACCAACAGCCCTGCCGAAGGATCCCAGGCCCTTTGCTGCCTTTGGCTTTCTGTCTTTCAGCACTCTGAGCACAAACAGACAGGTGCTTAACTAAAGCTAAATTGGGAGTCACATGGATGTGGAGACAAATCAATGACTACTAATTAGAAAGCACTACTCTGATATCTTTTTTATTTTTAATCTGCAATTACAAATGCAGCAAAACTCCCAAGACTTTGTCTCAATGCATATGTCCCAACAGAGGGACGGCCACTTCTGCTATGCCATATGGCATATATTGACAGATAAGCTGCTGCCTTTCACAATGTGCTGTTTGCTGAAGATAATTTATAGCGTGCTTCAGTTAAAACTGACAGCCTGTTTCCAGTGAGCATAGAGAACAATCAGATGTTGTAAAAATCTGTGAGTCTTTCTCTCAGGTAGAGTATTCAATCTTCAGTTGTTCATGGCTGAAAGCAGTGAAACAGAAACAGAGGTGAATAGCCTGTGCCTTTTTGCAAGTCCTGAGAAGAAACAATGCCCTGTCACTTCCTCCTCTCCTCTCCTCTCCTCTCCTCTCCTCTCCTCTCCTCTCCTCTCCTCTCCTCTCCTCTCCTCTCCTCTCCTCTCCTCTCCTCTCCTCTCCTCTCCTCTCCTCTCCTCTCCTCTCCTCTCCTCTCCTCCTCTCCCCTCCCCTCCCCTCCCCTTCTCTTCTCTTCCATTTCTCTTCTCTCTTCCCTTCCCTTCTCTTCTCTTCCTTTTCTCTTCTTTTCTCTTTTCTTCTCTTTTCCCTTCCCTTCCCTTTTTTCTTTTTCTAATAGAGCACATATGCTCACACACCCTTAAAATATTTCTGGGAGATAATGCAGAGCAGCAGTATCAAAATACATTGTAACTGAAGTACAGACTCACCCACCCACAGCTCACTGGGATGCAGATGAAATCCAGATGTGCAAACTCTCAAGTTCTCTGCTAGGGAAATGCTAAATGCTATGTGAGAATAGTTGTATCTTGACCTTTAATTCCATGGACACTGTCAGATTGCTTTTGCAGGGACTGCAGTAAGTAGTTGGCTTTTGTTGTTCAGATCTGATTCTTTCCCATTCTGGAAAATTTAAACAGGCCAAAGTTTCTTAAATGCATCTGCTGACAAAGGATGTTTGCTCCATCCCAGAACTGCCTTCTGCTGCTGGTAGCATTTCAGCCCTTGCAGCAGTCCCAGGACAGAGATGTGAATGTGACAAGCTCCTAAGAAAGTGGAGCAGCCCTGCTGCTTTTCCCTAGCTGTAGCTTTATTTTTAGCTTGTATCCTGTTTTAGCTTAGGTCATGTCAGAGAGACAGCAGGAAGAACTTCAGTTCCCTTTCGTGCACAGTCTCACTTTTCGTTCTTCCTTTTGTTGTTGTAGTTGTTGTTGTTGTGGCCTTTTTACACAGATTTTCTTTTTTGCAGCTGTGATAACTTCATGAAATTGCAGGTGAATGTTCCAGACTCCCACCCACAGCAACCATGTTTTTTGTGGAGCTGCTTTCTGCAGGTGACCTCCATCTGTGTTTTCTCTTCCACTTTTCTCTGCCCACCCCCAGGCTTGGTCTCCCCATTCTCTGAACCACATCCTAATTTTCTTTAGAGAAAGAAATGTACAGCATCATCTTCAGTGTCATTCCTGACGGGATACAGAACTGCTGGTTCAGCAGTTCCTAGTGCTGTACCTGGAACATGCTGGCAAGGAATGCTTAGTTCTCATCACATCATGTCTTTGAAATGAAGCATATGCTTCATGCTTTCTGTTGATTGTGATGCTGACTTCAAATATCTAATATTCCAAAAAACCACTGGTGTGTGTAGCTTTGTAATAGGCACACTGCTACACCTGGCTGAGAACTACTGCTCTCTGCAGGTCTGCAGCATGCGGCAGCCCTGAGGACAGGATGCAAAATGCTCCAGCTCACAGCTTCTGCACGACTGCCATCCCTGCCAGCCGCCATGCTGCAGCCCTCAGGTTCCCATCTGCTGAGAGACACTAATGAAGTCATCTTAATCAGGATGCAGGTTTGCAGCACCCAGCTGCTGCAGCATTGGAAACAGGTTTGGAAATCTCTGCCCTGCTCCCAGGCAGGCTTGGTGCTTTGTGCTGGAGGAACACGGAGTGCTGCTGTGCTGAGCACTCTCCAGCAAATGCCACAACTTATTCTGTAAGGTACCAGATGTGATAGAGGCTTCCCAGCCCTGTGCTGGTACCCCACAGTGCCAGCAGAAGCAGTTTACAGAGAGCTGCACCTTCTAGAAGACTTTATCCTGTGTCTTCCTGCTTCAGCCTGCATTTCTGTACATAAATTGGGTCTGCAAGTCCCCAGAATTATTTACTTCCCCTTTATAGAGGCAGCAAGTACAGCATCAAGTGTGGTGAGGCCACAGCAATCATGCCAAACCCCCAGGCAGCAAGGCATGGGATGTCTGCTGGAGGAGTGTGAGGGAAAGGTACCTTCAGGTTGGTCTGAGGGGCTGCAATCCTGTGCTGATGGGAATGAGGCCCCTGGCCTGTGGTTTCAACTAAGGAATTAACATGGGCTGCTTATGGGAAACACGCTCCTTGTGAATGCTGCTGCTTTGTGAGTTGTGCTGGCGTGGTGCATAGGGTGTTTGCCTGTCGAATATTTGGGGAAGGGCTACAGCATCGTCCACACCAGAACATCCTGGCTGGAACAGAAAATCCCAGAGTTGAGGGAACAGTAAATGGCATTCACCGGCATTCCGGCATCAGCTGTGGTGTGTTCACAGTAATCCAGCACCCACCTGGTGGCCTCTGCCAGCTCTGGTGCTCTTTCTAATTCCCTCTCCTTTCCCAGCACCCAGCTGCCATGTCACTGCCCGGATGGCTGGACCCAAATGTGCTGCTCTCTGTAAACAGGCTAAAAATATCCCCTGCTGTTCCTGCGAGGGCCCTCAGGCTGGGAAGGAGGCCGGGATCAGGCGGCCTCTGGGGACGGCTGTGAGGGATGGGGGTGGGAACAGACACAGTGCTGTGTGAGGGGTTTGTCACCGGAGGGCTGTAGCAGCTGGTGGGAAGGAATTGTTCCTCCTGAGGATCAGGAGGTGATGCATGGAGGATGGCCTGGTGTCCCTCAAAGCCCAGGGCAGCGCTCTGCTCAGTCCAAGCAGAACAGGAGAGAGATTTCTCCAGCTGCATTTCTCATCTGAAAGCAATAATTTGGTCCTCCTGCTCTTCTGTTTGCACTGCTGGACAGACGAGTGGAAGACAATTATGAAGATAAATGTTTTTCCACCTCCCTGCAGTGCATTTGTGATTTAAAGAAGGGCTCAGCAGAGGTTACCACAGGCGGTTACAACAGTTTCTGATTGCTGGGCTGATTTCTGGACTGCACCATTGCTCTGCTCAGGCACTGCTGAAGTTATTCAGCCCTACAAGATGACAGGAAAAAAAAAAGAGTCATTTTATAACAATGTAGAAAACTATCAGCAAAGCTCCATTCAGGGGATATTTTTGTCAGTCCTACATTTACTTCCTTTGAAGCACCTTATCCAGCCATGCTCAAGTTGTCATGGCTGGGAAGGACCGAGGACCACATCTGTGTCACAGGGCTGTGGGCCAGCATCCTCAACACTGTCTGCTCTGGGACATGCCACTGCCATGTCAGGTGGGGCCCTCCGAAGTTTTGTGTTCCCTTGATTTCCTCCTTCAGGAAGCCTGTGCCAGAAGGAATTGAAAGCTTGTGTTTAAGCAAGAAGAAAGGGGGAATACCTCTGGATAATATTTTTCCAGCTCTCTCCAAGGTGTGAGGCAGAGCCCCAGTAGTTGCTCCAACCAGACCCCAGCATAGCCCCAGCAGCACCCCACATCAAATGCATCAGTAGTGCTGTTGGAGAACAGCTAGCAGGACCCCTCAGTAGGAGGAAAGCCAGAGTAAAGGCACAGCATGTGATCAATACAACAATTCTGGACCTGGAGAATGGCCCAGGTCTCTACTTCTTGCAGGCAGCCAATCAGCTGCCTGTACTGGAGCAGCAGACTGGGCTGGGGGAAGGAAGAGATGGAGGGGGCTTGCTGGTGAGACAGGGATGCAGGCATCTGATCTCCCAAGTATCAGTTGATGGAAGCTTGATTTTACTTCTTTTAAAAAGGTAATGTTACTACAGCAGCTCATTTGTTAGTGTTAGGAGCCAAAATCAGTGCTAATGAGGTCCTGCAGGTGTACTCTGATAAGTACTCTGATGCAGGGCAGCTGGCCATGGTTTGCTGGGCTGCTCCAGGTGCCTGGTAGATAAGATGGAAATGGGAGAGCTAGAGGCCTAAACAGCATTTGGGAGAGCAGCAAGTTGGGAAATTGGCTTTGTTTTGTCTCTCATTGTTTGAAAAATGACTATCGTTCTTTGATACCACATTTCTTTAAATTGATTTTTAATGCAAATTATGCACAGCCAAGGTTTAACACAGAAAATCTTGAAGGAAGGGGGAATAGGTCCCAAACTGTGAGTAAATACACATGGGGGTAATAACTAATTCAGAGCCCTGATGTGCTGCTGGCATCCCTGGATCTGTCACAGCTGAGAGCCCAAGGAGAGCTGCGGGTGGCTGGACAGGCTGCTCCCCAGCACAGCCTCACACCTGTCCTTTGGTCCAGTGTGGGGCAGCACCTGACCAGGTGCACCTGATTGCCTGGTTTTTATTGGAAGGTAAAATCAAACCGTGATCAGCTGCCTGTGCTCCATCCGAATGAATTTATAACCTGTACTGTGTGAAGCAGTAGAAGCATTACATTTAGTTTATTTGTTCCCACTGCCTGCGGTAAGAATACAGCTGAGTATCAGAGTGATGCCGTGTGCTGATCTCATTCAGCTGGGCCACTCTCCAGTTAAACGGGGATTTCTCAGTGTTGCAACACCAGTGTTTTAAGTACCTCTACACATCATGCCTTTCTGTCCTGCGGCTGATCTTGTATTTATTTCCTGACGGCACAGGACCGCGCGCTTGGCACTGCCGTTCTCCATCCCCGCTGCTAATGTGGCAGCAGCCAAAGGGCTGCAAGCGACCGCCGGGGAAAGGAGCCGCGCGGCGAAGCCTGCGGGATGCACGCAGCTGCAGGGCCGTGACCCAGCTGCGCTCTCCCCGTTCCCAGCCGGGATTCTCCACCCCGCTGGGTGGGATCTCTCCGCTCCCCTTAAAGCGCAGCGGGCGGCGGGGCTCGGCTGCCCCACGAGTCGTTCGGAGGGACAGATATCGCTGTGAGTGGACGTGACACGGTTCTTGTCGTTCGTTCCATGGCAGGTAGGAGCAGGCTTTACTTTTTTTCCGTTCTTATTTTTTTATTATTATTATTAAATTTTCCCCCCCCGTGTTGTTCCAGACAGTAGGGCGTGTTTGGGGGCGGCTTGGTTTGCGCCGGTGTACGTTTAGCTAGAAAGTGGAAAACTTTCCAGTGCTAGCGATGTGGTGGGGGTGGGTGGGAAACAACCCACAAAACCAACAAGCACAAAAAACCTGTTGTTAGAAACCTCAAAGCGAGCATCCGAGAGGCGGCGGGCGCCTGGCGCGGGGTGGTCGAGCTGGGCACGTGTCGCCTCTGGGGGGCAGCAGCCGCCCGCCCGGCGGGATGCGGGGATGCGGCGCTCCAGGCCGGGTTTTGGGGGCCGTTGCGTGAGATGAAAGCGCCTTTCGTGCCTCTCCGTAGAATAAATCGAGCTGCGTTTGCAGCCTTTTGCGTGCTGAGGCTTTCCGGCCAAGTTTGGAGTCCGTTTGCTTCTCGTCGCCTCGCGTCGCTCGGGAGCGGGGAGGTGCTGGGGCCGCGCGGGGCGGCTCGCGGTTGCTTTAGGGGGATATCGCTGGTCTTTGGGAATGAGGGCACTGATGGGGGGAGCTACAAATCGTGAGAATGGCCGCGGTGCTAGGTGTGTGCTGGGAGGGGTCAGCGCAGGAATGCTTTGTGTTGGAGTGCTGCCCCAGCGCAGGAGGGCTGCTTGTGTGGGGATGGAATGCAGCCAGGAGTCTCTTAAACGCGACCATCCTCTTAAACGTGACTTTTGCTGTGTTACACGTGGTGTTTGGGAGCTGCTCCTCTCCTCAGTGAGCAGCCTGCAGCCCAGCTGTGCCCGATGGGACCTTTCCCTTTGTTAGGCAAAGCCTATTGATTTAACTTCTGCATCGTTGTTCAAGCTAACACCGAACAACGTGTCACTGGTGGCGGTGCATGAAATTGAACACCTCCAGAAGGGCTGAAGCTCGAGGCTGACAGGGTGAGGGTGATGCAGGCCTGATGCTGCTGCAGGTGGCGATGGCTGTGAGCTGGGGATGCTGCATGCAGCAAATGGCAGAGCCTCAGCACACCTCACTGCTGTGGCTCTGGGTGCGCTGCTCTCTTCTGAGCTGAGCGGCTGGCCGGTTTGACAGCAGAGGAGAGCTAACTTTGCATGGTGATTTGTTGAATGTTGTATTGAACAGGGATGGAACGTATGCTTGGTTGGGTCTGGCCTGGCTTGTGATGGGGTGTAAAGTCTTCTCCTAAAATTCATGTGGGGTGTGAAGTCTTCTCCTAAACTTAATGAAGTTATATTAAAAGTTGGTATATGGCTTGAGGACTATATAGTATGTAGAGAATCCAGTGTGATGAGTTTGCTGAATGAATAAGTGAATTACAGTGTGAAAGTGCAATGGCTGCTGTCTGCCTCACACCAACCCTGCTTCCTTTCCCCCCATGTCCAGCATGCAAGGCTCTTCCCATGCTGTTTTTGCATGTGTATTGCTTCATGATGGTGCTCTCACAGAGGGTAAGGGTTTTTCAAAAGGATCCATAACTTAAAAGCATTCCTAAAAATCCTGTGGATTTCAAAATTCAGAAAGAAAACTTGTTTTGAACCTCAGTGCTTTCAATGCGTAGCAGACTTGCTCTTGCTGTCGTTGTCCCACTGGTGTTGTGGGCTCAGTGTCCCTTATCAGCACAGGGCTCTGTGTGTTCAGGGCTTTAGCTGAACACACTACCAATTACTGAAGCTCGAGAGCTGTTTGAAGCAGCTTTAAGGAGAAACTGCAGGGATCTGCCTTGAGCTGCTTCCCAACCGGTCGGACATTAAACGAAGAACTTGGATAAATCTAAATGACAGCTTGTGCCCGGTGTGTCAGAACTGTGCTGCAATGCATGGAGGGCATCGCTTTCCCTGAAGCAGACCAGCAGACGGGGGACAGCTGCAAACTATTCACCTCTATTAATTTTCACACCACGAGTCTTTCTCAGCAGTAATACATTATAATTTTGCTTTCTCTGGGATTGCCTGGTTTTGGCTCTGGGAAATGGTGTGGCCTGTCTGGGTCTTGGAAAAGCATGACTTCTGTTTGGTAGGGCTGGGAAGATGATGCTCAGGACGCATGCAGAGAGGAGGCAAAGTGAGCTGCACTGAACACCAGGGAAAACAGCAAAATCATCCCTGGGCTGTCCCACCCATGTTTGCTAAGCCCTAGCAAGGTTCTAGCAGAGGAGATAGAGGTTGATGGCTCTCAAGGACTGACGTGGGCCATGTTCTACTTCGCTGGAAGAAATGCCTCAAGTTGTCCAGAGCAATACAGAATGCAGCACCCCTGCATGTGTTGGAGCAGCTCTGAGCCAAGGTCCAGAGCTGGTGGCTGGGGCACTGCTGCCAGCAGTGATGGCTGTGGCTGGTCTCCTCCTGCATAGAGACTGAAGTGACTTGGTAGTGTGGCGTTTTCCAGCAGGTTTGCTTATTTGGGATGGTTATGGGACTTGGAAGGGGAAGTCTCTGGGGGAAAGGACAAAAAAAAAAAAAAAAAATGCAATTAATGTAAACCTAATTTTTTGCAGTTACCACCAATCTTAAATTCTGCAGTGTGACTAAACTGCTGCAAGGCCCTCACAGTAGCACCTTGTGTATCTATATAGCACATATATGAAATGTAATTTCTAGGCACATCAGGGCTTCTTAAGGAAAGTGCACATAACCAGCCTGGTGCTCTGCAGGGAAAGCATGTGAACCCAGAAAACTACAGGTCCTTTCCTTCTGCTCGTGGACTTTTCACTCTTGCACTGTGTCAGCATTTGATTTACCCCAGCAGAAGAGCTGAATCCAGAGCCTAGCAAACAGAATTTAGAAGCAGATCCCTCCTGGCACCTCATGCTCGCACAGCTCCCTCTGACTTGGCTGGCCAAAATCCCAAAACGTTTTTTTTGCCATGTAAAAGTTTACAGGAGAGGAGCTGCCTAATATCTACCAGAAATAAGTTTTTGGCCCGCTGTCTGATCACGTGAGTCCATGGGCATTCTTCCAGAGGTTGTGGTGGCTGTGGGGTGGCTCCTCCCTGACCTGGTGACTGGACCAGCACCATCCCAGAGAAGCAGACCTGCTGGACGATGCCACCCTCCCAAGCACACAAGCAGTGCCAACATCAATCGCAAGGTGAGGGATCCACCCTCAGTGTGTCCTGGAGTCACTGTGGGAGTTGGCACTCGAGTTACATTCTGGTGCCAGGAGAAGCGAGGACATGATGTTCAGGGAGAAGAGGTCAGCTCTCTTCCTGTTTAGATGTTTTCCAAAAATGCTTGAGCATCTGAGTGGAAAAATGACTGAGGGAACCATTCAAATTAGGAAACAGGAAATACTTCAAAACTGTAGATGCGGTTTTGGCGGCTGACATGAGAAGTGAGATGTCAGGTAGGGCTGGTGAGTGCCCTGCTGGGCCAGCAGCTCACAGGTCTGGTTCTCATGCTGCACACAGGGACAGCTTGCCCAGCAGCTGCTGTCAGCCCTGTGTGAGGTCTGAGCCAAGGCACCGTATCAAGGCAGTGATGTTCAGTGAGAGGCGTTCTTCGAGTTCAGGACTTCAGTATTTCCATTAGTGGACAGTGAAAATGATGGTACTAAAACCAGAAGTTTTACACAGTATAAGTTAGTAGCAGGCTTTCCAGTGCTAGGCTACCAATGTGATGAAATGAGCTGTTCAGGCCAAACGTCAGCTCTGCTCTTGACTCTTTTTCAATTTCAGCAAATCACTGAGCCACCTTATGCCTTTTTCTAGGCATACTTTAAGTTGATGTAATGCTGCTTTTAAGCCTCTTCAATTACTCCTGCATCTGATTGTATGTAATATGCCCTGAGGGCTGTGCTTCAGGTTTGCCCATTGATTTGCTGTGTGACCATGAGTGCCACATAAAATTAACCCTTACTGTTCAGAGGAGCTGTGCTCGGTTATGCTCATGTTCATGCTATCCAGATTCCTGCTTTATATTCAACAGTGCAGACTTTCAATCAGAGCCTGCTTGCTTTTTATTGTTAAATTTGAGGACAGAATCTAGCACAAAAGAGAATTGGGAGCCTTAAAGTTCCATTAAATTCACCTCAAGCAAGTTTCAGTGGGACTTAGAGAATGAAGCAAATTTAGATACTCCTGAAAAGGACACCTGAATTTCTAGCCAAATGCCTAATGCTGCTCCAACCTGACTGGTGTTACACAGTAAGTATGCACAAATCTAATGTATGCTAATGCTAGAGGGGTAAATGCCTGAAAGTGAAAACCATTGTGCACCAGAATGTGTTCTTCAAGACGTAGCTGTTTTAGCTCTGCTCTGAACTTAATGACAGCTTCCTCTGAGCTGCTGTGGAGTTGCTTTGGAGGGCTGCATTGTGCTGCTTTACTGCAGTCTCCTCCATGTGAGAAAGATGAGGCATTCAGTCAAGGAGTGGTATCAGCTCAAAGACTCCTGCAGGATGAGTGGCCAAAGAAGAGGTGTGGGTAGAGCCTGTTATGTCAGTAGGATTGGCCCCGGTTTTGATAATATTCTTAGCGTTTCCTCTTGTGTATAATGAACAACTCTGTTTTTCCTTAACTTTGTCAGAAGGTTTCTGTGAAATAACATGGCCAAAAAGTAAACCCATTTTCTGAATATTTTAAGAACCTGCTGCTTAGTTTTGTGTGTTATTTGATGGCAAATACAGCTTAGAAAAGCAGCCAGGATGGGTTTGGCCCTAGAATCGTTTCAGGAACATGCAAATAAACCTTTCCTAAGAATGTTCTTTGCAACCCCACCCTTGAGGAATGGCCCTCTGCAAAGATGCAAATCCAGTCAACACTGGAAGTGCTGAACTGTGACTCTCCTCTGCACTTAGCAATTACTTTTATATTACCAGGGTGGGCAGGGGGGCAGCATCTGGTCATGTGTCCTTGTGACCTGATGAAAAGCAATGGGTGGGGATTGAGAGGCTGGAGCACGGCCTCAGTGGCAGCAGGGTTTCACCCCTGCCCAGCAATCTTGTCTGTACACATAC